TTTGAAGTGAAAAAAATAGCTTGATCTACTATGTATATATATATCTTAAGTAATCAACTCTAGTTTCAAGGGACTTTGTGATTTCGTTATCAATATTTTCATCAAATTATTTTTTACGAAATTCAGGTTCTATATTCACTTCTATATGCAATTTCCTAAGTAGAAATCATAGCACTCATAGTACATATAATTTTATTTTTTTAAAAAAATAACATTCATAAGTAAACTTTTTTAAAAAAAAATGGGCCCCTCCAAAAATATGGGGCCCCAAGCGATTGCTTTAGTGGCCTAGGGGTTAAGACGGCCCTGAGTCTAGGTCGACACATGTTAATATTTGACAACTTTGAAAGTGTAAGAGGGGATCATGAATTACTCCTTTTTCAATTTTCGTCTTAACGTCGACTAATGATGTTCATCAGTCAACTGTTATCAACAAAAACTTAATAAATAATAATAAAAATGATGAATGTAAAAGTTATTACACCAGATATTTTTGTATTGGTTGGGATCTCAAATAGATCTTAGTTCAGTCCCCTTAGATTGAAAGTTTGTTCTATTCTGACCTATGTAATTTGGTTTGAGCACAATACTTAATAAAAATACAATAGACAAGGTTAGATAATTCAGACTGTTTGTATATCCTCACTTCTTCTTTAGAGCGTTTTCTTATAAAGTTGACGATGCTGAAGTTTCTTCGAAAATAGATAGTAACCAAAGAGATTTGATTTTTGAAAAAAAAGATAATTAATCATATTTCCAGATTAATTTCCAAGATCTCCTTGAAATTTGATTCGTTTTCCATCCTTGAGCCCTTGTAACGAGAGGGGTGATATTCTCAATTAGTCATTGAGATCTTGATTCCTTATTTAGCTCCCTCAATTTTTGTTTGATTGAATATATTGCCTTACAAATATTACTAGTATATTATTTAATATAATAATGAATTGGGGCTATATTTTAAGAAATTTGCTACGAAGAATCTCAGATATTTGTATATATTTTGTATTTGTATACCTATAAATAATTTTGTTATTATACTGTACATATGTATATGTATTTGTGTATATACAAACTTCCATTTCTTGTTTTGTTCTATATATTTTTTTATTGTTGTTTGTTTTTTTTCAGTATATTATCACCTACAATATTTTTTATGAATCAATTGTATAATTTCGACACTTATTTACAATTACTTATTTATCTATATTAATAGTTTGTATATAATACGAATACTTGTATATAATATGTTACTTGTATAACCTCAAATTGTATAATTTCTAAAAAAAAAACAGCGAAATATATAAACAAAAATTAGCATAACAAATGGAACTATACCCATAAAGCATATTTAGACAAACTATAGCTAATGAGAATTATTAAGTTTCATCTCTAGGCTATTTATGCTTTTTTTTTTCTATAAAAAAATGTACCTCATAATTCACAGGATGAGAGAAATTATAAGAAGAACAATGGCAATGCCAACATGCATACAATACAAATACAAATAATTGTATATAATATGTTACTTGTTTTGATTATATTTTGCTACTATATTATTTCACAAAGCTTTCACAACTCTTCATAATGAAGTAATTTTTAAGTATAACTTACATAAATGACTATAGTTTTAGGGTTATTAGATTGAAATGGCTAAAAGTATCATATTTTTTTTAAAATAGCTACAGTTTGAGTTAAAAAATAGTTGAATTCCATAAATATTTCTTTTTTTTCTTAATACAAAAATACATTCAAAATAAATTCCCACTAAATGAGGTCAGTTAATGTAACTGACAAGGCTATTTTTCAGCCCTTAAACTCACTAATTTGGCATTTTAAAAAATGTAACTGACCTATACCTTCTAGGATTCTGATAAGTTTAAAAATAGAAAATATGTTCCTTATGTCTTCTTCATTTCACGCCTAAAACAAAAATACAATTCCATGGCTACTATCACAGTTTTGATCTGGCATTCCAGAAAATGGAGCGAAGAGAATTGCTATGTAGAATATAGCATTGACGGGATAGTGTTGAAGGAATATGCTTCGTATTCTGATTTAGTTGATTTGATTTCGGTACAATTGAACGTCGATCTTACAAAAAAGTGTAT